AAAATGTCGTTTTATCCCAGTTTTCAGGGAATGAAAAATACCACTCGAATACGACGGTAAATTTCACCGAAAAAAAAATGTTATAATAGCTCCGTCGGTAATCGGGCGGCCCGAAACAGAAGGCCGTGGTTCGTGTCACGATCATTTACACACTTTTTTTTACTTTTTTTTAGATTCCAGATCATTGCTTTCTTTATTTGTCGATCCAGATGATTTTGTTCTTTTTACACTTTTTATTAAAATTCTTTCTTTTGTGAATAATACCAGTTATTATTTTCTTATTATGACGTTGGTAAGATCGAAAAATATTATGCATATTTCATTACTCAGTAATTTGTATCTAAATGTAATTTCCAAAATACACGATTTACCAAAAAAAAAAACAAACCGACCAGGTCCTAATTCTGAAGGAACCAAGAATATATGGTACGTTTAATATTCAAATAACGAATTTCATCAAATTAATTACTATATTAAAATACCTAAATCAAAAACAGTTTGTAGACCTTGCAAGAATACGGAAGCAATCCATATTCTTCTACAAAGTTTATTACATTTTTGGAGAGTTATAACTGGAGACCATGGTATAAACAGTTTAGCGTCTAACTTCAAGAAATTATAAGGTAAAGGGGTCCCAATATGTACTAATGGATTAGACCTTCTGTCCCTCGCTTAATTGTACTGGTACATGGTGTATATTGCCGTATTAAGTAAAAAATTCAAAATAAAAGACAATTTCGGGGCTTATGTTATTTTTTCTTTCCTTTTTCGTTTTAATTATACATTATGTTACGGCTATTGTGAATTTAAATTAATATACTAACATTCAAATTCAAAATATTCGAGTTCGTAAGTAAGTTACCACCGGTTCGGAAAGCAGTTTCTGTTGAGAAGAAACCGAATAGTTACTCTATTTTAAAAAGATAAGTTTACAATATAACATTTTTTTTAATGTGAAAAATTGCTAAGTGAATACCGCCAGCCATGGACATCTATTACACCCGAGGGTTGCAGATGCGTTGACGAGCTTTTGAAAATTGGGCTCCGGCCACCTCACTCACACATGGTACAGGTATAATTATATATTAATAGATTGATTAGCATTAACCATAGGCTTTTTGCCTTTGTTGTTCACAAAGGCGAGACCCTATCGCTACTAAGACTCTGCCGTCTGTCTGTCTGTCTGTTCGTCTGTCACCACGCTGTATCTCATGAACCGTGATAGTTAGACAGTTGAAATTTTCACAGATGATGTATTTCTGTTGGCGCTGTAACAACAAATACTAAAAACAGGATAATTTTTTTTAAGTGAGGCTCCCATATAACAGCTATGATTTTTTTACCGTTTTTATAGATAATTGTACGGAACCGTACAATTATCTATAAAAACTTGCGCGAGTGTAACACGCACTTGGCTGTTTTTTTTTATGTGAACTCGATAAGCGATTTTCCTGATGAGAAGCGATTGCCGCCGCCCATGGACATCAACAAACCGTTGTGGTGGCTGATGCGTAACAAACTTTCAAACAAACGGATTCCAGTCACGTAACTCGCCAGATACACGAAAGTATAATAAAATCATCTACCACACGCCGTACTCATGTGAGGATGTGTTATTTCACCGGTAGAGTCTACCCGTTTGCGTAAAAAGTGATCGAAACGTCGGTAATTAAAACCAAAACTAAACGCGACAAAATCCGTAGTGTACCTGCCTCCTGCGCCAGAGGGGTTGGTTTCGATCCCTACTACTGGCAAAATAGTGTATGTTGTACATAGTGTTCTTCTGGTATCTGGGTGTTTATATAAGTGTAATATGTATTTATTCACAGAAGAAAAGTATTTTTATCAGTTATTTAGTACCCATAGTACAAACGTTGTTGTTTGAGACTAGAGAACGTTGTGTAAAAATGTGTCTTAAATATCATATTTAGTTTTATTTAAGAACTCATTTAGTGCTATATTCGGGTCTACTAAAACTTTATTGAAATCAGAAAGCTATGAATTCTGACTTATTATTAGAATATTATGATTATCAGGTACTCCGCGGTGACGGAAAACATCGTGGGGAAACCTGCATATTTTCGAAATAATAACAAAAAAAAAATTTCGAAGATATGTGAAGTCCGCCTATCCGCAGTGGGAATGCGTGGTTGACTATTCCTTGATATTTCTGTACAGACGAAGCCTTTTCCCAGCAGTGTGATCTGTATAGGCTGTTACTTTACTTTTTTTTTAGCTTTTTTTTAAGTATATCAAAAGATTTTTTTTATTAATCTGTTTGGGTTCTGCTAGAGAAAATTGTCAAGGAATTCACACGGCAACATGTACACTAGAGATTATTACATCTTTGCAATACTGCAAGCTAAATAATCTCTAAATAATACATTATTATAACGGAACAGATTGAAAAGCTTCTACTGAGCTTGTGTATTCACCATCTACGGCTGCAACAACTCTTATAATCTTTTGGGCTCAAGCTCAACTAGACAGACCTTAAAAAAATAGAGAGGAATGGTGACTAAGACGAGCGGAGAGAATTTACAGTTTTTTTTATAGTTACATATATTTTTTTAGTTACAGTTTTTTATAGTTTCTTGTAATAAAAGTGAAATGTATAATTTATTAAAGTATGTCCGTGTGAATTAGCAGCGATCGTGCATGTGTGTGAGGATGTATGGATGTTGAAGTTCTTTTACAAGAAAGAGTTTTTGAGTCTTTTACAAGAGAAAGGTATAAAAAAAGAGTGGACGACGGAAATCTATGGCCACCCCTTTGGGTGACAAGCGCGTGTTTATAAATACATTATTATTATATTATGTTGAAAATGTTGCGTTATGCACGTTCCAGCGACTGAAAACGATAATTATTCATAATCATAATAACATAGTATAAAATGCGAATTAACATGAATACTAATGTATGATTTCAAATACATGTACGATATGCAATAACAACATTTATAATTTAATTTTCCTTTTCAGAACCGATAAAGAGCAATAATTGACGGCAAAAACAACTAATTAGTGTTATTCAATTGCGAAAATCATTCGATTTGTAATCGATCAATAAACGAATAAACTCTTAAATTGATTTAATTATTGTTGAAAATTTCTGTCGTAGCAATTTTTATGCCAACAACAAAGAACGAAACAGATTTATATGTACGTCAGCCAATAACACAGAGAAGGGATATTTATTTACTTTTGAACGCGAAATGTTTTTGTCCTTTACAAACAATCCAATCTTCAATGACAATAACTCGACAAATAACTGTATGGAACATCAAAAAGGATTTAAATTATGTAACATATGATTATGGAGTAGATTCTTAAATGGGGCGGTGTCAGCCAATGAAGTTATTTTTCATTGTTTTAAGATTTACGCACAATAAAAATTAACTTTGTGTATTGTTTTACGTTTTAAATCTAACAGAGCTAAACTATTCATAATTTCTATATATTTATTTTGGTCAGCTTTCAATATTTATCCTTTTCTGATATTAAAAACGGCTATAATTGTCGTAATTGATGTGTAACAAGGATATTTATGTTATATACACTCGTATTGTAGCTTTTCACTTTTATTACAATTTGCATAATTCATGTAACGTGAACTTTTACGTAACAGATAAAAGGAATCTACAGGAAACAATTAGATCGATTTCGTAATTCACAGTGACAAAATAACATATAATGAAAGAATAGCATTATTTTATTTGTAGTGTTCTTTTTCCCAAACATATTTAGGATTACTTATTTCCCTCATAGTTCATGATTTGAATCGATATGTCTCACCCATAACGAATTGACTTATAAATACGTTATGTATTGACCCAAACTTTCTCCAAAAGGGGTATTTGCCATAGTAAATCAATTAATTGATTAATATTTATAAATATTTTAACATTCATTTACATTTTATTGATAATTTAACGTCTTAATGGAATTTCCATTGAACTAGGTAATCAAAGAAGACTTGATTCGTCTACTAATTTATCCACAAAATCTTTAAGAATATTTTAAAATGAATCGTTAATAATTATTCGTCTTGTAAAAGGTTTCGTATTTAGAAATGTAAAGGCGTGGTCACATAGTCCCAAACCAAAAAGATTACGTGTCTCCTTGCAGAGCAAAACTGAACGTTTTTAATGAGTTTACGCGAAGTCCCTTTGATCTGAAACCAATCAAAATAACACGCAATGCAAATATTTCATAGATCAATCAATAGAAATTTTACCCGAGTAAATTACTGTAATGCCAATTACTTTCAAACAGCCGTCGTCAGCTCAAATTTTCCATGTATATAACCAAATTTCTTTTACATATTAGATGTTCTTTTAATTCAAAGTATGTATACATTTCTTTGTTAAGTAACGAACGATTAGTAACAAAGTTGAAACGATCGAGGAAAAATAATAGTTGAAGTTGATTTAAGTACCTATAAATAGTATGTGGCATCGATGATATTTAGGAAATATCGATCTGCTTCGTCTTCGACGGGTAAGAGCTTGGTGGGCAGTTGCGGCTCAACAAATATGCTGAGACGTGTCGAGCTAGGAGCTAGAGGTGACGCTATCGATTTGCGGTAAGCAGAGTTGATAAATACGCCCGTATGAGGAAAACACGACGTGCTACGTCATCAGCATCGTCATTCCGCCGCGTCCCTCAGTCCGCCATCACTTACCGCGACCGGTAACTTTAATACCACGCCGTGGGACCACCACTCCCGATTGGTGGAGATGAGGCGCCCCACCCCGCGCCTAATAGACCGATCGATATGGGGCTAGTGACGAGTGGGGTGGGAAGACCGTCTATCGCCAGGGGTACCGGGAGTCGAACGACGGCCACCGGGGCTGGTGGTGCCGTGGCCTGGTGGGCTCCTGGGCGCGGGGCGGGGGAGGCGGGGTAGGGGGGCGCCACGCCCGGCACGTTGCATAACGCTGGTCGTGCCGGCGGGCGGGCGCTATCGACGCACGGTGGCGCATGCGCGGCGCGGCGTACCTTCGCATCCGTAGCCCTGGCCGATGAGCCCCCACAGCAGGTCCGAGCAGTGGTGGCAGTAGGTGGGCTTGTGGAAGGTCTTCTTCGCGAAGGAGTGGGTGCGGTGGGGCGCGGGCGCGGCCTGCGCCATGGCGGGCGCACGGGCCGGGCCGGGCGGGCGCGCTACTCATGCCGCGGCGCCATGTCGCGCGCCGCGCTCACCGTGCGGCTGTCGCGGCCCACCATCGCGGCGCGTCTGCCGCCCGCGCCCCACGCGCCCCGCGCACGCGCCTGCCGCCCGCCCCCCGCCGCTCCCCTCACGGCCCGGACGCCCCGCGCCCCGCGCCCCGCCCGCCGCACGCCGCACGCGCGCACCCCGCCCGAGGACGTAACATTGCAGCGGCGTAGCGAGTGGACGATCGATGGCGGCTTTCGCATTTGGACGCCCGTCAATCTGTAATCGATAAGCGCCCGCGATATGCGTGGTGGCTTTATGAGCCGCAGTACAGTAGACACTTTCTCTATAAATTATTATATTGTTATGTTTTTTTTTTCGTACAACACATTGCTTAAGATTAGCGGGCACGCTTTGATCACGAATCAAAATCACGTATGCATTTGTTAAAAAAATTCAGAATTAATTGACCGGAGAAAACGTAAATGTAATAATAGAATCAATATATTTATTTGAACATATTTTGCAATTTTTCCTACAGATTTAAATCACAAGTAAATCATATTTGTACCATAACATTTACTTCGACTGACCCGAACAATATTAAAAAAAAATCTTTTATACAAGGTGCATATCTCAGTATATGGTCAAATGAATTTGCATACTGAAACATAATGCATGACAGCCTAAGTAATAATAGAGCGCGGAAAAAAAACATGAATAAACGCACGTCGCGTCAAGCTCACGTCGGCCGGCGCACGCGCTCTGCCGCCCACCAATCGAAAAAGCTCTTGTTTACAATTAAGAGGCGCAGCTTCCCAGCAGAGCGGCCCGACCGGTAGACGCCATCGCCCAATAACTTCGCACGCTATAAAGCCACACCGTGCTAATTATTTTCGCAATATAAATTACTCCAAATAGACATAATTAAAACCACTCGGTTTAATAACAAAAAACAAAACCAACTTCAAATAGTTCACTCATTATATAATGAGTGAACAATTTGAAAATCCTCGAAAACTGATAGAAAATATATATATATCAGTTTTCGAGAAGTTCCCTCATATATATCCGAAGTCCAAGATCCAATATAAATGAAATTGATATAGGACCACATGCAAGCTAAACCAAACCCAGTAAAATAAGAATTTTCAAAATTGGTTCGTTAATGACGGAGTTTTGAGGTAACAAACAGAAAAATACGTATTGTGTACGTCATTTTTAATGTCGGTTATAAATTCACACTAATAACGCAAAAATTCACATGTTTCATTCTAACAGTAGTAAGCGATTATAAGCTGTAGAGTATATAAAGTAACAGCCTATACATGTCCCACTGCTGGGCAAAGGCCTCCTCTATACAGAGGATATCAGGGCATAGTCCACCACGCGGCCCCACTGTGGATTGGCGGACTTCATATATCTTCGAAACATATTTTTTTTGTTATTATTTCGAAAATATGCATGTTTCCTCACGATGTTTTCCTTCACCGCGGAGCACGTGATAAGTCAGCACTTAAAGTTAAAAATTCATTGGTGCCGGCACCGGGGATCGAACTCAGGTTGCTCGAGTATATTGAATTAAAGGCGCCCGGACACTGAGCTATCACGGCTCTATAGCTATACGTAGAGTATAGAGGTGAATGAATCTAATACCTTTAAACGAGCAATCCTTGTATCTAATATATAAAATTCTCGTGTCACGGTGTTTGTAATTGAACTCCTCCGAAACGGCTCGACCGATTTTCGTGCGTTCGTGGTCCACCCCAAACATTTTTTTCTACCCTACAAATAATTTATATGGCAGAACAACGTTTGACGGGTCAGCTAGTATATATATATATATATATATATATATATATATATATATATATATATATATATATATATACATAGCGATTTTCATGAAATTTAGTATTTGCTTAGCTAGGTTCGGGGGCGAAAAGTCGATCTAGCTAGGTTAAATTTTTAGAAAATGTCCTTTTATCCCTGTTTTCAGGGAATGAAAAAAAATTCATTCGAATATGACGGTAAATTTCGCCATCAAAAAAAATCTTATAATAGCTCGCTCGGTAATAGGGTAGCCCCGAAACAGAAGGCTATGGTTGGTGTCACGATCATTTACACACTTATTGTTTTACTTTTTTTGTAGATCATTGCTTTCTTTATATTTTTTCTTTACAAAATACACGATTTACCTAAAGAAAACCGGTATAATCCTCCAGGTACTAAGTATTAAACACGTATCAATTGAGGAGAGTTTCAAGTCGATAACTAATAATAACAAGAAGTGACTAAGACGAATCATTATTTTAGATAATGAAAAAATGATCATAAATAGAAGATAAATAAATCAAATAAAAAAACACAACACAAACTTAACAAAAACGAAAAACAAGGGAGCAGCCATCTATTTAAAACCATTTAAATTATTAAAAAGAACGTCAAGATTATAGATTATCAACTATCGTTAAACACTTTGGCAAGTGAGGAATTATGAAAAAAAAAAAAGGAATTAAGCTTAAAGGAATTAAGAAAATCAAAAGAGGGATTTCTTGCTTACAAACGAACTCTACTAATAATACGAAAGCGTTTTCCTGATCCGGAATAATAAAAGTAGCCACTGATTTCTACAAAGAGCTATACTCTATCGAATATACACTCTCTCGACCAGAGACTTCACGATTTCACGATTTTTTTTTCAAATTCAAAATATCTCTCTTCACATAGACACTTTCGCGTTCTTGCGAAAAGTCAAATTTTATAAAGAAATTAATACGTTCACAAGTTACTACCGGTTCGGAAAGCAGTTTCTGTTGAGATTTTGACCACTCTATCGAAGAAAATACTAGAAGAAAATGGGTGAAATCTGACATTATTTTCTTGTATAGAAAGAGAAACTCCATGGATATGAGCAACTACAGACCTATTAGTTTACAATGAAATCTGTAGAAGGTTTTTGCTTTTTACGTGGAGGAGCGTATCGCGGTGTATATGGAAAGACATCAGCTGGTAGAGCAAGGCTTTAAAAGGAACTATTTAACAGTAGTCACATCGGCACCTGATTGGCGTAGTGGATAGTGGACACGTCTCCTTCCCCACTACTGGAAAAATACTGTCTGATGAACATGGTGTTTTTATAGGGTCTGGGTGTTTATATATCTATAATTTATGTATTTATTTACAAAATAAAAGCACGTTTAAGTGTATTGATCATTTACCTAGTACCCATAGCGCGAGCTTTGCTTAGTATGGGACTAGATAGCGTCGTCCAAAAAAAATATGTTCTGAAATTATTATTCACTCTTTAGAACTAGTGATTGAGAAGTTTAAGGAACCCGCTCTACCTAACGTTTATAAACTATGCCAAAGCGTTCGACTCCATTTCTCAAAATCTTATAAGGAGAGCTTCACAATAGTTGGAGGTGCCATCAGCAACTATAGAACTTATACAAGATATGTAACAAAAACAGTACAAGTAGAGTATAGTACAACAGTAAAACTAGATAAAACAGGGCCTGAATTTTACATTAGTAGCGGAGGCGTACGGCAAGGTGATCCTTTTGTCACCCAGAATATTTCTAACCGTACGGCAAAGCATTATGAAGAATCTGAAATGGCAAAACAAAGGCATACACATAAACGGATATTTTTTAAGCTATCTCAGATTCGCAGATAATATTCTATATTCTTTTAGGATAGCTTATAGTTAGCTTTTATTTTATAAGCTTAATTATTAAAGAATTACATGTGGTTAGCCAGGAAATTGACTTGCAAATGAAAACAACAAAAAAAAGACACACAATAAAAATCCCAATAAGCGTCGACAACGGCCCTCTGGAATATGTATTCAAGCATATATCTTTCAAAAGATCTAGATACCAAGATGAACTGACTAGATGTGTGAACATCGTCTGGAGCAAATCTTGAAGTCTTTATGAAGTTCTTCAGCCAAAGATTCCTGTAAGACTGAAGAAAAGAGTCCTAGACTCTTGTGTATCCTTCTAATTCTTACCATAAACATGGATATTCAATGGACACACTAGTAATAAAACACAAACCTGTTGCATGTATTAACAATGATAGATGGACAAAAAAGATAACCACTTGGGAAGGGTCGTCAGGAAAGAGAAAAAGAGGTCTACCAACGGAAAGGTGGCTCGACTTACTGCAAACAATGGGGACTGGATGGAAATAGCAATAGATAGAGATAAGTGGAGAAATAGTATTTCTCTGTGTGATAGAGTTCGCAATGAAGACATCCGCAGTAGAACAAAGATCAGACGACATAGCTCAAAAGGTTATTAAGCTGAAGTGGCAATTGGCTGGCCGTATAGCTCGTAGAACCGATAACCGTTAAGGAAGAAAGGTTCTCGAGTGGCAGCCTCCAACTGGCCATCGCAGTGTGGGATGACCACACACTAGGTGGAGTGACTACCTGTGCAAGTGTGCGGGAAGTCGATGGATGCAAATGGCTCAGTTTATTTACATTAATTTTGCATGTAATATGTTTTTTTTTGTTTTTTATTGATTTTAATTCGTGATATTTTTTATTATTTTTAATTAAAAAATAATATATTATTTTAAATTCTCAAATTGTTATCAAATTACGTAATTTTACTAAAGAATAAACAATGTAATTTTACTAGGGCTTACTATTTTAATTTATATTATTTATTTACTGTTGTTGATAAATATTTGATAGTGTGTACATAACAATTTCATACTTTTTTTTAGTACATACTTTTTAGGACGCGATTTTCTAATTGTCGACTTTTAGTTAATATTTTTTTTTTATTTATTTCGGATCGCAAACAGAATATTACACTTGAACATTGTCTATAGATACAAGGTTAAAAAATATATATATTACATAAGTGAATATTCCACTATAAGCGAACACATCATGTACACATAAATAATGCTCTCAACATGTAGGTATACAAGTCTTCAAATTATGTGAAGTAGAAAATTTAAACTTAAAAATAATTTAATAAACATAGAAAAAAAAATCTACGAAAAAAATAATAACAATGAATGCAGTTAGTAACTAAAAAAAATAATCAAAACTATAAAAATTATAAATTATAAAAAAAAAGAAAATAAAATAAGTGGCTAAATATCAACACATTTCATGACTTAGAATAAATAAACTTTTTAATATTGCATTGGACATTAAATATGTCAAGCTCTGAACATATGGCATTATAACTTGAACAAATACGATAAATCGGTGAATGCTGACCATAGCGACAACGGCGTAGGGGCAGCGCGAATATCTTCCGTCTCTGTATACGACCACCAGCTCGTGGTAAACTAATATTTAATTTAGAAAGAAGTTCAGGGGAATCTATTAGGCCGTGCAATATTTTATAAAGAAAAGTAATATCCGTAGCGCTGCGCCTTTCGAAGAGAGTTTTCATTTTAAAGTATCGTAGTCGATGGGTGTAAGAATTTAAAATATGGCACAGATTATTAGCGAAAGACAAATTGCTTTTGAATTCTTTCAATCCTATAGATGTAAGAGGAGCTCCAAGCAGATGAACAATATTCCAGTAAGCTTCGAACATAACAATTGAAAAGGATGATTGGTATTTCAAAGTCCCTGAAAGTTTTTGTCTGTCTTATTATAAAGCCTGCCAGCTTAGCTCCCTTTTTAACGATGTAGTCTATGTGATCGTGAAAATCTAATTTTTGATCAACAATTGTTGCCAAATGACGTATACTTGAGACTTCGACTAACTGAACGTCGTTTATAGTATATTTAGTATTGTTCGATCTTCGTTTACGGGTAAATTTGATATGGAAACATTTAGAAGTATTATGTACCATTTTATTCCTGTTGCACCAAATGCTAAGGGAGTCAAGATCTTTTTGCAAAGATAAAATATCGTCGTCAGATTGTATAACTCTGTATATTTTTAAATCATCTGCAAACAGTTTAAATTTTGAAGTTATTATGGAGCAAAGGTCATTCATAAATATAACAAAGAGAAGAGGTCCAAGATGTGAACCTTGAGGCACGCCAGAGGGGACTGGTTTTGGTGGAGATTTAAAACCACGCACATTAACAAGTTGCTAGCGATTTTGAAGATAGGATTCACACCATCTCAGTAAAGAACCACATATACCAGCATGTCCTAGTTTTTGAGTTAAAATATCGTGGTCAACCATATCGAAGGCCTTAGAGAAATCTGTATATACAGCATGAACATCGTTTTTAGTTTCGAATGCTTCGGTTATGTCATCAATATATTCAAGCAGATTTGATACGGTTGATCTACCCGGAAGAAAGCCATGCTGTTGAACATTAATTAATAATACAAACAAACAATATTTATTTATTTAAAATATTTTGAGGTTACAATTTCCGTACAAGAGCCGTGATAGGTCAGTGTCCGGGCGCTCGCCTTTAATTCAATATACTCGATTCCCGGTGCCGGCACCAATGAAATTTTTAACTTTAAGTGCTGACTTATCACGTGCTCCGCGGTGAAGGAAAACATCGTGAGGAAACCTGCATATTTTCGAAATAATAACAAAAAAAAACAAATACATTTCGAAAATATGTGAAGTCCGCCAATCCGCAGTGGGGCCGCGTGGTGGACTATGCCCTGATACCCCTGTATAGAGGAGGCCTTTGCCCAGCAGTGGGACATGTATAGGCTGTTACTTTACTTTTACTTTTTACAATTTCAAAATAAAGCATTTGCAGAGCCGGTGTATTCCCCGGGATACAAAGTATCATACGTCTTTCTCTAGGATGTTTTGGAGGCGTAATTTTCGAAATGATTCCCAACTATCGGATAATGCGAGCAAAGCCATGAGCAACGGATTAGGTCGTTAAAAAGGAAATTGGCGTTTCATAAGGACAAAGTAAAACGAAAAAAAAATTATTAAAAAAATATGGACCACACGACAGTCTTCGCTTTTGCACGAATTGGCAGGTCCGTCCGGGGAATTACCACGCCCTCAAGCAGCGTAAAGTGTTAAACTTCTACGTTTTGTGTGGTGAATGAGGTAGCCGCGGCGCACTTTATTAAAAATTGGCAACGCATCTGGCAACCCTACGGGTATTGCAAATGTGTAGGCCATAAGAACTGGTAGAGCCACTGTTAACAAGCGGATATCCTCCCGATCCCGTAGTGGCGAATCTTGTCTGTGGTTCCGTCGCTCATCGCGTTACGGCAGCGGAGAGTAGGGAGAACGGCAAAACACAATACCAGTACTCCTCCCCCCCCCACTACAGCCACTACAGCCCATCACTACTGCATCAACGATGCAGCCCTGCCAAGTTGCGGAAGATAAGGAGATTGGCTCCATACCAACACTGCCCTTACCCCGCGACTCCACCTCAGTTACAGAGGATAGTTATCCTTCGTACCCTGATCCTGTGGGTTCCGCTTGGCTTCTCTGTGGGCTAAAGGGCCACTCCACCACGGCAAGCGGAAAGCCGGTCAGTGCTATCGGTGCAGTTGCTATCCTGCAAGAGCATCTGATAGCATCCGCGGAACAAGGAACGGAGCCCATAGACATTCCACACCAGAGATGTCAAATATGTTGCAAGCGTTGCCTACAACTAAGAGCCAGAGAGGATGTATTGACAACTGTTATGATTACCAGCGCCCTCTACAAGCTGTAATTGGTCAATATAAAGGCCTTCATTTTCGTTTCGTTACATTTAGGTTTATTCTTAAACTTTTAAGCATAATCTAGCTTAAAATTAATACTCTCTATTTCCTTATGGATGGTGTTATGAGAATAATTTAATATTTCATTATACGGCACTTATACGGGTAGATCCTGTTTTCTGGTTGTTACAATTTACAATAAACATCGTGGTGTTGCGCTGCTGTTTTTATTAATGTAATCCCTCCGTTCTCATGATATCAGTTACCGGTTGAATCGCAGTACTTATAAAAACGTGTGCATATGTTTGTACTCATAGGTTTTTTATGTACAACATGGTTTGTTCGTAATATATTATTTGATAATCATAATTTAATACTATCGCAACACAAGTTAAACGTACAACCAATATTCGTTAAACTTTTGTCGTTTAATAAGTTAATATATTATACATAAACCAAACCACGTAGTCAAATTTCAATTTTTATAGTTAACGGTAAC